AAATTTTTTTTTTTTTTTTTTTTTTTTTTTACAGTTTGGCTTCTTTTTTTTTACTATGACCATGTAGTATATCTATAAGACATTCTTTTATATAAAAATGTAACGCTGGGGACTGGAATGGTCTCAATGTTTATATATTCCCAAAATTCAAATGCTGAAATCTTCTCTCCAGTATAATAGTATTGTGAGGTGGCTGGTACCTTTTAATGATTAAGTCGGAAGGGCTCACTGCATGCAGGTGGGATTAGAGCCCCTGCAAGAGGCTGAAGGAAGCCGCTCTCCCCTCCTGCCCCGAGGCCCTGCCAAGAGGGCACCATCTCCAGTCCTCATCAGACGTGGAGCCCACTGGTGCCCACAACATCTGCACTGCAGAGCCTCCAGAGTGATCAGAAATAAAGGTACTTGGTTATAACAGCAGGACTAGATAGGGGCTTTTACCTCCGAATATACTTCTGTGTTACTTCTGTAACACAATAAATGCATTATTAAGCAAATAGAAAAAATTTTAATTAGTGCTGCCTTTAAAAAAAAGAAAAAACTTGAGACTATCTTTTTTCTTTTCTTTTTTCTTTTTGTTACCAGGGATTGAACTCAGGACATTGCACTTGAGAGGTAGGCACGGTGCCACTGAGCTAAATCTCTGGCCCAGTTCAGGCTATCTTGATGTACAAATACAACTCAGGTTTCTAGAGTCTGGAAACAGGTTACTTATTTTAAATTAAGGAACAGTATTTTAGGTGCCCATTAATGTACTGATTTAAATTTTAAATACTTACTTTAATATTATTAATTCTATATAATTTTAAAAATCTGAAATAATCATGGCAGGGTGAGTTTGATCCTGGCTTCACTTACGACCTTAAGTTAATTAGCTCTAAGCCTTAAATTTTCTCTTATAAGTAAGAATGAGACACAGAGACTGCGCAACCTCTATGCAAAATGTTTGAGATCAGAAGTGTTTGCAGGTGCAGATATTTTTTCAGATTTCAGAACATTTGTATGTACATAATAAGATATCCTTGGGATGGGACCCAAGTCTGGGTGAACACGGAATTCACTCGCATGTCATATATACCTTATGTGCCGAGCCTAAAGGTAATGTGATACAATATTTTTAATAATTTTGTGCATGAAACAAAGTTTCATGGTGTGGCATTTTCCTCTGGTGTCGTGTTGGCACTCAAAAAGTTTTGAATTGGAGCCTTCTGGATTAAGGATATTCGCCCTGTAGTAACTAGCTCACAGTGCTGTTATGGAGACCGAAGAGATGACGTATAAAGTGCAGAAGATGCCGAGGTCAGTGCCCGCAGCCTACGTTTCTGATACCTATGGGCGTGCGCTGTGCTCGCGCCTCCCTCCACCATCCCCCAAAGTCCCGCACATCTCAACGGACCGCCTTGCTTCTCCTGTCTTGGACAACACGCCCAGGCCTCAGGAAGGATTCCTTCTGCTTCTGTCCTGCACACGTTCTGAGAGGAGCCGAGACCCGCTTCTCACACCCACTCACCCTCCCCTCCACCCATCCTCACCCCTCCCTACAGCCGCCCTGAAACCTCACTAGGGGAGAAACCACTCCCCAGGTGCTCCACGCAGACAGCCTTCATCTCTCTTGAATAAGTGATATGTCTTAAAGAGCAGAATATGCTCACCGCCGACAGCCTGACAGAGAGAGAAGACCTAAACCGAAACTCGCCTTTTCATTCCACAATCCAGACACGACCACAGCCTCCCCGTCTCTCAACCTCCTAAGCATGTCTAGAAATGCCTCTCCCTCCTCCCACACGCCCAGCTCGGTCAGACTCTGCCCGCACCCTGGGAACCAGTCTTCTGGCTTCCAGGCTATTCGCATCCATGGCACCAGTCTGATTATAACACATTCCTGCTTAATCCCTCCAGGGCTCCCAATGTGTACAGACCGAACGCTGAACGTTTACAAACCATGCACTGGAAAAAAGATATAAGAAGAAATAAAGTAACCATGGTTATATTCAGGTGCTAGGAACATGGGTCCTCCTCTTCCATTTTTCAACTTTTCTCTAATGGGCACAGCTTACTCATAAAATATAGTTGCCAATCCGCAACGTAGAATGGGCCATGACTAGCACATGATACAAACCAAGAGAAAACAGGATAGAATAGAAAATATTAGAGCAGAAAGCCCACATGTAGCAGGGAGAATTACTGATCCATGAAACTTCTGTTTCATTTACATTACACAAAGACAATACCTAAATACTGAGTCTCCAACTAAACTGCATATTTTGAAAGTCACAAATCAGAGCTTGAGAGAACTCTCTTTGTAAACCTCTGTTTCTACTTATTAATCTATTTCCTACCTTAGAGGGATATTAGCGGATTAAAATGTGAAAAATATATGCTTTTTGAAAATTCTTACAAATAGAAGTACTACAAAAAATATGTTTCAGAATCAGGTGGCGCACACTTGGAATCCCAGCACTCTGATTAGCTAAGGCAGGCGCATCAAAAGTTCAATCCCAGCCTGGACAACTTAGTGAGACTGTCACAAAATAAATAAGAGATACGCTGGGCTGGGGATGTAGCTTAGTATAAAGGCACTAGGTTCAATACCCAGTATCACAATAACAAAGTGTGTGTGTGTGTGTGTGTGTGTGTGTGTGTGTGTGTGTGTTTGGTGTTCAAACATCAGAACTTCTTACAACTAAAACAAAGCTACTCAAAAAATGCAATGGCAGGAGGTAAGCATAAAGATAAGACAAAGACGTAAGCTTAAATGTTCCCTAATTATAAAACAAACTTTGCCAAACTTTTCTGGAACTGTGTTTAGCACTGGCCACATTTCTCATTACTCATGACTTCCGTAATGTCTGAAAATCTGACTTCCATCTCTGTTACCAAAACTTCACTCCTGAAGAGGCTAAACAAATCTTTACTAGCGGCTCACTGCGGTTCAAAACTTACATTAGCTGAACATTTATGATATAGCAGGCACCTTTCCAAGTATAGCATGTCCTCATCTAAACCTTGCCAGGCATCACTGTTCTGATCTCAGTCTTGTGGATCAGGAAACTGAGCCACATTACATGGTCATTAAGGGATAGGGCTGAGACACGGACCATGGCAACCTGGCTTTAGCATTATAAACGTGAAGCTGAATGCTGGGTGACAGGTGGTCAAGACATCGAAGCAGCCAGGCATGGTGGTAAATATCTGTGATCCCCACACTCAGGAGGCTGAGGCAGGAGAATCACTGCAGTTCAAGGCCAGCACGGGCTATTTAGTGAGTTCAAGAAGAGCCTGAATTATATAGTGAGACTTTGTCTCCAAAAACAAAAACAAAAACAGACCCTACTTTCAAATCATGTATGTATGGTCGAATGTATGGTCTTACACAGAAACAGATGAATCAACCAAAACTTAAAACCTCCATGTATTTAAAATATGTATTTAAATTACAGGTCATAAAATAATTATCACTACCTCCTTCAAATATCTCCGTCATGGTTTTTCTCCTCTCTCAGAGCCTACTCTCTCTTCAGACTCCTTCATTTGCTGCTCAGTCTCTACATGCTGAACCTTCTCTACTTGCTGGGAAGCCCCAGAAGCCTCAGAGCAGGCCCCTTGTCTTCTCCAGCTGTCCACTGTCCCTAGAGAGGATCGACACACTCATGGCTCTGAGCACCGACTATACACCGAATCTCCCAAAGCCTTCTCCCGGGCCACAGTGCTTCTGTGAACTCAAGTGGCAGAAACCAACTGCCAACTTAACACCTCCAGTTGGATCTAACAGGACCCCCAAACTTAACCTGCTCAAAACAGGGTTTTTGCATCTCCTCCCTGCCAAACCATGCCCTATTTGAGCACACATCCCACGAGACGGCACCATTGGAAGTCCCTGCTCATCTCCTCTTCAGCACCCACTTCAAGTGCATTACAATTCTGTTGCCAGCACTACCACATCCCACAGTGGGTGATTTCCCCCAACTCACTCTGGAGAAGATGCTCCCATTCCTGTCCCCACCACTGCATGGCCCATCTCCTCAGGCAACCGTGGGGTTTCTTTTAGAGTGAGAGTCAGGTCTTATCCCTGCCCTCCAGTGCCTTCCGCCACACTTACGTCGGATGTCGAAATCCAGCATCTAACCACAGCCTGAAGTCGTACAGGTTTTCGTACCTGCCCACTTGTCTGACTTCATTTCCTGCCATTCTCCCTCACTCTCCTGGCCCTACTGTGCCAGCCTTCTTTCTCTCCCAGATGCCCACAATCGTTCTCATTCCAGCACCCGGGCACCGGAACAGGCTTCCCTCAGATAGTGGTGTTGAACCCATGGCACGCGTGCCACAGCAGACACAGAGCGCCCGAGCCAAGTCACCCCGGCTTCCCCCCGCTTCACCCCAGTAGACGAGCGTTGGTAACAGGTAACAGTGCACACAAAGGTCAGGCGCAAGTTCGGAAAGGAGGAGCTCAACGGAGATAACGTCACGGCGGTTTGGGCACTCAGTCTCTAAAGTTCTGCCATCACTGCCTGAGATGATCTTGGCATGGCCGGTGCCTTCTCGTTCAGATCTTGGCATAAATATCCCCCTCCCGGAAACTCCCAACTACCGATCTAACGTAACTCACCAGTGGTCTCTGCTGTGTGACTATGGGCAGCGACATTAGTCACAGCTCCAGAGGCAAAGAACTCATCTGTGTCACTTTCCACTGTATCCTCAAGAACAGTAGCTGTGCACAGAATACCAAAAGCCTTAAAATATATCTCATAAATAAATGAATAAGCACTCATTATTCTAAGCAAACGAGGCCCTAACTATATGTCGGGAAATCTACTAGTCAGAGTGTCCCAGAACTCTCCAAAGCTAAGCATCACCTAGAATGAGTTTTTAATAATTCCTGGCCTCCAGCTCAGACCCAGTGAATCCGAATATCCCAGTAAGAGGTCTGCTCTTGCCTTATACTCACTGAACATGCCAGGTTATCTTATTTTTATGGAAACCTGGACAAACACTGCACTTGATTACCAGGATATGGCTGAAAACACACTAAGTGAAGCCTGGGCACAGTTCAACAAAGCAGAGGGAAGAAAGCCTAAAGTCTGCCTGGGGCAGTGATGGAGGGTTTCAGTTATGAATACTTACAGAAGGAACAGGGAGATGGGGCTGGAGAATATTCCAGGGCAAAAGACTGGTGTCACAGGAGACAACCAGGGACACAGCAGAATTTTCAAATTTCAAAGAAATGATCTTAGTTTGCACCTTCACCTTTCCTGTGGTCACCTTCCTCTTGAAGCAGGCTTCTCTCCTGTGGGAATTATCACCATTCTTCGCTCCGCTCTGCCCCTCAGACTACTTCTCTTCTCCGACTCCTCTTCCGAGCTGGGCCCGTGGACCCAGTCTCTCTGGTCATTTCTTTCTAACCATTCTCCCTTTCCGAAACCATTAGGTCAAATGGATTCCAAAGCACCTTTCCTACATCTACGGTACATTTCCCCTTGGTCCACCATTCACATGAAATTCAAAATTCCTTCTTTCTTACTAGTACGTTTGCAGTACGTAATGTTTACATTCCTTGTGTGGAGCTGCTACATGTACAAAGCATCATAATTTCTCTTTTCATTCTCTTCCTCTCCCCTCCCTCCATCTCGATCCCCTGCCCATCTGAGAAAGCTCTACCTCTCTGCTTCCTGCTATTTATCTTTTATTTCACTATTTATAATTTGAGTTTCTCATCTAAGAGAAACCACGCGGTACTGAAGCTTGTGTAACTGATGTATTTCACTTAACATTCTAAAGCCAAGCTCCAAGAGTATCACCAAGATCCAAAACTAACCCACTTACCCGTCTCTAAAATTAAAGGTACAACTGTAATCTCTGGAGTCGTCCCTACAGCTGTCTTATTCGTCTCCCATATTCAGCCATCAGAAGTCTCATAAATAATTACTTTACAGTGACTCTCAGACTTAACCCTTGAATCCTCCCATCCCTGACCCTTTGTCTCTTGTCTGGACTGCTGGCTCCTCTGTCTCACACACTCTTTCTTCTTTAATTTCCCTGTACTGAGCAGCCAAGCAGCAGAATTAACTTCCTAAACCACCACTTTCAACGTGTTACACCCCAACTCGATAATTTAGAAAGCCTCATTGTCGCCCACATCAAATCACAGCTCCTCTGCCTCCCTTTCGGGGCCCTCTATAATTTGACCCCACCCCGGCTAACCAACTCTGCTTCCTGTTATTTCTCAGAATTCTTCCAGCTGGTTGGTCTCTTCTCTGTTCCCACCTCATCCACACCAGGCACGCGGACTTTCTGACCCTGCTTAGGTTAGACTCTTCATGTGGAATACCTAGTGATTCCTCTATTTCCTAAGTCTTTTTCCATTTTTTGTGGCACAAGTTGAATTCCATGACCTCTAAGAAGCCCGTTTTTTATATGGTGCCAATGTATTTACTCTCATTTTTCTTTCTGGCCTTTTTGATGGACAGTTGGCGTATCATATACAGTCTTATTACTGTATTAACAGCTTGTATCAGTAGTTGCCAAAATATGGTACTTGGGACAACTTCCAACCTTCACCTGCTCTTGTAAATACAGCTTTGGTGGAACCCAGTCAGTCACAGCCGGTCATTTTTAGAGTCTATGGTTATATAGATTATTTACAACCAAGACTGTAATAGGCCCCAAAGCCCACAATATTTACTCTCTTGTACTTTACAGAAACTACTTGCCAACCCGGGCCTACATCACCTATTTTGAGTTCTTCTGGATTTCAGCACACAGGATAATGTTTGTGCCTTTACTTCAAGTGTATGGGTCTTTGCTCTCTGATAAGATTGTAGCACCTTACAGGTTTAAACGTAATTCAAAACTTCTCCGTATTTCTGTCCAAACTTCTCCAGAATTGGTCAATCTGTACCTAAACAGTACTTCTGTGCTGACTTCAGCTCCAGTACATAACCAACACGATCAGCTCACTTCCCCTCTAGACAACACAGAAACCATAGTTCTTAAATAGCAAGGAGCGGGGCCAGAGGCACTCAGCACGTGCTTGCTGAATGGATACTTCTGTGCCAGAACAGTAAGCACAGCACTGATGTCTCCTATTGCTAATTGAAGAAAATGAAAAGGCCGTGAAGAGCAGTGAGGATGAATGGAATCTAACTTTAAATTCCACAGAAGAAACATTTCTTAGGCTTTAAAGATGAGAAGAACGCGGGCTTACGAGGGACGCCCAGTTACAGGCAGTGTGTCTGATAAGTTGATGCGATGAATCATTCCCACCCGAGGGCCACGCCAGGACAACGCTGACTTGGCGGATGTTTTAAAGACTGAAGAATATTATTTTATATCTCTGTAGGACTTTTGGCCTATGAGACATTTTTGCAATCATTCTTCATCCTTGTCACTGCTCTAAAAGATTGATCAACCTAAGGTCTCACGGGAGATGATAAAAATACCCACACCTTGGTCTTGAGGTTCTTTGAGCTACATTTTCCTTCCACTTCCTCTGGTATCCACAGCTACTTCCTGAAGCACCCAGAGTAAGGCAGGAGGCTGTCAATGCCAGCAGCTGGGACCCACAGTTCTATCTCTGGGGTAACACCAAACCTCTGCTCTGCCATTGCTGGCGGCACACACGTGAACATGCATGTGCCATGTGGGCAGGAACGGTATGTGCCCAGTGTGGACTGGCACAAGGTTCTGCCATCTTGAGCTTTTCCGCATGATGGAATAAAATACAATGTGATACTGCACTTACTTTAATACAGAAGCCAAAAGTATAAGATGCTCCTTAGGTATATTAACTGCCCCCCCAATTTACAATTACAGATGTCTTTGTCTACACAGAAGAAGAAAAGTAAAAAAAAGCCACTCAACAAAGCATTACTAGTTACTTCCACAATTCCTGCTAATAATTCAGTGTCACCAGTTCCTTTAATCTTGTGGACAAGTGATACAAGGCATTAAATGTTTAAAAACTTACCACTGTTGAATTAGTGTCTGCTGTCAATTAGAAGACAGCTCTGGTTTGAATTTGGGCCACACCAGCACTGCAAAGGAATCTGCTCGGAATGCTATTGCAACTTTTGCTAAGCCCCTGCATTTCTTTCTCTGAGGGAAAAAAATGTTCCTGAATATAGAATAAATCTCTGTAAGTGTAATATACTTTTCATATATTATATAAAATTATATGACCAATGCTTTTAAAACACCACTACTTACTTCATCTACTACCACAGTTTTTATACCACAGAGTGCCACAGCATTCTGTTTTATTATATCCAGAAGTCGTCCAGGGGTCGCTATGATAACCTGAATAAAAGAGAAAAAGCAAATTTGAAAAGTAGGTCATATTCATTCATTCTATTTTTATTGAGTAGCTAATAGGTGCGAGACACCGTGCTATTGAGCAGCTAATATGTGACACTGTGCTATGTACTCAGAATTCAATGATGAATAAGTCAAACATAGTTCCTGCTCTCAGTTAACCTGCAACATAAAGGAAGAAATAGATATAACAAATAAATGCTAACGAGATGAGGATGGTACGCAATGAAGACAGGGGTCTGCCCAGCCCTACCTAAAATATAAGCTCAAGCCAAAGGACTAGAGGGATCACCGATGTGAGCAAAGGGAGAGCATCGATGACATGCCTGAGGCTGGGAGGCCAAGGAGGGCCAGGTGACAAAGGAGACAGGTGATGGGGGAGTGGGAGGCAAAGGGCAGGGCGAAGGTCTATTCAGCCCTGCAAACAAATGCAAAGGCCTGGGCTGGAGGCGGAGCTACAGAGCTAGAGTGGGGGTAGCCCAGTGAGGAAACAAGGCTGTGTGGGCAAGGGCAGTGGCAACGGGGACTGGTCCCTTGGGGAAGAACTGGTCAAACCAACTTGAAGGTGCTTCCACGGGGCAAACCAAGGGCAACTGGAGCATCAAGTCAAATAAAAGCATAGATTATAACCCGTCGAACAAAACAGGAAAACATGAATTTACACTGATTTAAATAAATTAATAAACTGAAAGTCTGGTGAAACAGAAAAACTTATGTATCACAATGTTCTACTCTCAAAATATTTACTGAATATAAAAGGGGAAACGTGAACTTCAGAGTTGGTATAGCACCAGGAAGAAGAGAAACAGAAATCTGCCACTGAAAATGCAATGAAAAGTACAAAGCATCCCTTCTGTGATGTCCTAACCAGCTGAGGGATGTCCTTCAAAGTAAGTGGCGTGGAAATCTTGTTTTTGTTTTTGTTTTTGTTTTTAAGGAAGATAGTTTAATTTGGCCAATGGCTTATAAATCTTAAGTGTCAAAGCCATGAAAAAACTTGAAAGACTGACAAACTGTTCCAAATTGAAGAAGATAATAAGAGAAACTGACAGCTTCGTGCAATGTGCAATTCTGAGCTGGTCCTACCACACACACACACACACACACAAAGACACACACACACACACACACACACACAAATTACAAAAATGTGAATGGGTTCCAAAGTATAGATGATGTCTGTTAATCCCGGATGTATTCCAATGAGTCAGTGCTCATTCACTGATTCAACAACTGTACCATGGTCATGTAGAATAATGCTCCTGTTTGTAACAGTTGAACTCTAGAGCACATGAGGGTGACTGAGGCACCAAGTTAGCAACTTTTTTCCAGGGAGCTTGGGAGGGAAAAAAAAATCTCTATAATACACTGCCTCAGTTTTTTAAAAGCATGAAAACACTGCCCAGTCAAGAGTTACTAAATGTTGCAAGATGGAGATTACCCAGATGTGTTAACTTATTTAAAAATGGGAATGTAAGAATGGTTTTTTAAAAGCAGTCAGAATTTGTACGTATTTATCCACGTGGGAACACAGGAACTGCTGTTAGAACCTGCACAAGCTTACCCTCATTCTATTCTAGGCAACAAAATAAACTCAATGCAGAGGCTCACAGGAGAGTGTACTAAATTCTATGAACCTGATTTAAAATTTGATGGCCATCAAATATATTTCTAGTATTTACTTTATAAATATATATCATTGAACTAATAATTTTTATTTATTTTATTTATTTATTTGGCTCTTTGAGACGGGGTCTCACTATGTAGTTGAGACTGACCTGGAACTCACTATGTAGCCCAGGCTGGTCTCAAACTCACAGCGATCCTCCTGCCTCAGCCTCCAGAGTGCTGGGACTATAGGTGTGCACCACCACGCCCGGTTGCGAAACTAATAATTTTGTACTAATAAAATATCACCTTTACTTGTTTTATATTTTGGACATCCATATTAAAAATCGCTGATCGAATATCCCATTATCTTTAACTTTTTAAACATCCCACTAACAACTTGTTCTGAGTAACTCCCAGGATTTTCTAAGCTAGAACATTCAGTAAGCTTGGCTTGGTCTATTGCCAGTCTTTTTCTCTTGGTACCTGGGATCGAACTTGGCCGTTGTGCTTGAGAGGCAGGCGGCAGAACCACAGAGCCAAATCTCCGGCTCCCAGTAACAATTTGTAATGTCTTAAAATTATATTTTAAATGTGTCCAATGCAGCAGCGAGGCTCACAGAAAAGAAGTTACTTATTTATGGACACACTGCTCCCAAGCACCAAAGCCTCAAGTCCACTATATCACTTGTACATATTTTAATATATCAGAAAATACTGATCACACATAACAGCCTAGCTAAGGAAAGAGCAAATAAATTTTCAGTTTTGACAACCATCATTTACTGGTTACAGATCTTTAGGTAAATCCCAGCTTTCTGAGAGTTAACCATAAAAGTCAGGATATGCCAACCCACCCACAGAACGAATGTGACTGGTTAGAGAGATAATGGATGTGAATACATCCGACAGTGTTTGGCATACAACAGGGCCCTCAATAAATTGTGTTCCTTTCCTATATGAAATGACCTTAAAAGCATTTAAGGTTTACTTGCCAAGAATTTAAAAGCTACTTAAAATTATACTTCATTCTCAAGGGGAAATAAGAACACTAGTTTGTACACTACTTACAAAATTTTTCAAAGGCACTGTAGCAGACAGGTGCTTACCTTAACACGTTGTCGCAAGCGATACAGCTGTGGGGGCATCGGTAAGCCCCCTACAAGCAGCACGGTCTTCATGCGTGGCAGACCGCTCATCAATTCTTTGGCTTGTCTCTCTATCTGAATGGCTAACTCTCTTGTTGGCGTAAGAATGAGTGCAGAAGGAGTTTTGCTCTGCAAAGGTGTGAAAAACAACCTGTCATGTAAAGGTACAAGATCCCAATGATGGATGTAACTGTACTGTATACCTAAAATGTACCAATAAACTCAATGAGGAAAAAAAAACATGTGAAAAACAAGTCAGAAACGACAGCCATTAATTTTTTAGGATGTGGACTGAATCTTCAGTGATTCCAGGAACATTTCCCTCTGAAAGTGTTCCCATGAGCCCAACTAGACCTGAGCTCCTGTGCCTTCCGCTCACTGAATTTAGATGTTTGCATAAATTGATCTTATTTTTTATAGAACACGGACACACAATGAAAGACCAGAACGGGCCAGGGAGAGGCGTCCATATAACCAAGGCGGGAAATGGAAGGTTTGCGCCTGTAAGTAGGCAGCAAACTGCAGTCTCTACGCGTCTCCTCTGAAGAGAAACACCTGTCACCACAGGGCTCTGGTCAGAGCTTGGCACTTTACCCTGATTTTCACTCCCACCTCTTTTGTGGATTTACTTTTTACTTCGTACAAAAGACTGGCTTTCATGGTGGAAGGGAAGGGGAGTCCTTCCATATCCTACTTTTAGCCCTATGGTCCTCCAGGGTGTTTGACCTATGGTCTGCACACCCAGTACTTTATTTTTTCTCACATTATTGTCTAACTCCAGTTTTCTCAACTTTTCTCCCCTATCTTTCCTCTCTCTGCCAACATTTTTCACTCCCTTCCTTCTCTGCCATATGTCAGAGCCTACAAACTCATCGGTACAAGCTGGATATTCCCAACCCCAAAACCTAAAATCAAAAATGCCCTGAAATACAAAACATTTTGGGGCTGGATCTAGCTTAGTGGTGCAATGCCTGCCTTGCAAGTGCAAGGTCCTGAGTTTGATCCAGAAAAAATCCCCAAAAAACAAAAACCATTTTGAACATCGACATGATACTCAAGCTCAATACTTTAGTGAACTTCCTATTTTTGGGTTAGTGATGCTCAACTAGTGAAGTCTATGCAAATATTCCAGAACTGAAAAAACTCCAAAATCTTATATATTAGTAGTGACTAGTGTTTTGGATAAGGGATACAAAACCTGTATCGGCAAAAAATAATCACTCAGAATGTTTAGCAAACTAACCATGTGTGAATGTGCTTAGTATACTATAAAGTAACAAGAAACAGAAGAAAGCATTATTTTAAGTTGAACCACACATCACACTGGAGGTGTATTCTGAAACTCTACAACAGAGTTAAACTTTGATATAAAGCAGAGTTTCTTCAAAATGCAAAATCGAAGGAGGCATAAGTAACATAAATTGCAACTCATCTGGTCAACAGGACACACACACCACCCCCCCGATCAAAAGCTTATTCTTTTAATAGAAAAATCTGTTAAAAATAAAATGTTCTGTAAGGAATATGAAGAGACCTTTGCTTTAAGATAATAAAAGAAAAATTCTCTCTAATATTATGTCTTACATACACACTATTAGCAAAATCTCCAGGAGTGCCAGTGACTATGGTTACAAGAATTTATCCTCAGCTTGTGATTTTTAATGTAGTTAAAGATAAAGGATGGTAAATATTGCACTTGTTCCTGAGAATCACACATGTGGACTCTTATCAGTTACCTCCGATAAAGCATGGATGATAACAGGAAGAAGGAAAGCAACGGTTTTTCCAGAGCCAGTATCTGCACTGGCTAGAATGTCTCTTCCCAGAAGTCCCAGAGGAATCATCTGCATTTGGATGGGAGTTGGCACCTCATAGCCAGACTTCTTCAAATTGTGATTTAAGATGTCCGGGAAACCACAATGTTCAAAGTCGATAATGGGCCTGGTGACTTCTTGCCCTTGAACTGAAATTCCTAGCTGCTGTTTAAGATTTTCAATCTGGTCCTCCTGAAGGGCTGAAATAAAAGGGTGCTCTCTGTAGACATAAAGAACAGTAAGTGGAGACTCTGGGCCAGACTCAGCATTCTGTGGACTCCTGAGATTCAACTTCTCTTCTTTTTCCTTAACTTGGAGAAGATGTTTCGCTTTACATTCCAAGCTACACACATCTTCATCCGTCTGATCACAGATGTACTCTCCGTAGCGGCCACACACAACACAGACAGGCTCTCCCGGCTCTGCCCAGCGCTGTGTTTTGGAAAATGACTTCACAGGCTCTTCCAAAGGAGGGCTGTCCTTCTCATCCTGCTCTGGTGCTACAAGGCCAACCTGGCGAGCTGGACTGGGGAAGGGACCCTGGTCACTGCTGGCCCCGTCTGGTCTTGTGGCTTCGTTTGGAACCAAAGTGTCAACTGGAACCCCTCTTTCTCTGTCCACACTAGGGTCTTCTGTTTCTGCCTTAATTTTCTTAGCTACACAACTTTTGATATCCTCACTAGAATTCCTCTTGATTTTTAGAGATCTTGGAACAAACATCCTTCAATAGTCTGTTGAGGAAATTACATAATCAGATATATTTTACCCGCAATTAAATTCACATATAAAGCACCATATGATGTTGTATTCCAGGGCTTTCTCTCACAGTAATAGTGAAAACATCGTGACACCACTTATACCAAGCTTTTCTTCTGCATATGTTTCCTCTGGTGAACACAGTCCTTTTCCTCACCCACACAGTAGTGAACACTGCTAACCACAGCCCTGCAGCAACTGTTTCCTGATCACTTGCACTCTGAACAGTCAGATATAACAGAATCCCAGGGTATGTACTGTTATACTTTCACAAAAGAAAACTGGAGGGAGACTTCATAATTAAAATCTTTAAAATCAAAACCACAAACCATAATGGAAAATGCTATTTTTGTATAAGTAGCACTTACTGAGTGCTTATTTTGTGCTAAAGACAGTGTTTAGGCTCCTCCTAATCTTCACAACTATGTGAAACAGGTTAGTACTACCTTATATATGTACACACACAGATACACGTGTACTGTAGTATTTTATATGCTGTATGATGTTACCTAGTATAACACACGTGTGTCTATATGAATTTATCCACACTCAGCACCTAGAGGTTATCTGTCCAAGGTCACACAATTGTTAAGAGGCCTAACACTCTGGTTCCCAATCACATGCTCAATTTACATCAAAAATGGATTTCTGCAAAATAACAGTGGGTGGGAAAAATACTTTTAACCTAATTTGTGTGACTGTCAAATACACTAATACTTTTCTCAAAAAATATTAAGATAAGTTGCCAGATTCCATTTTTTAAAAAAATCAAACAAAAATGCAACGGAGGGCCTAGAATTACCATACTAAGTCTCCGATAATGTCAAGGTGTGGGGGACAGCCCAGGAGCAGAGCAAAGCTTGGAACTCTGAGTCTTCAAAAGGAGAACCGATAACAGTCAGCGTTGGGCAGCCAGACTGCCAGCCTCCTCCTCTCTCCTCCTCCCTCCTCCCTCCTCCTCCTCGCCAACGCCAACACCGCC